AATCATCGAATCTCAGACCGCGCTCGCTCACTCGCTCACTCAACACTACAAGCATATCGGATGTGCATACGCGAATTGAGGATTGAGCGGGAATGTGGCAACGCGAACGAACTACATTCAAATTGTGCACTTCCCACATTTATGCATTTTCTTGGCGGTGCGCTTAAATATTTCGCATGCGAAATGGCAAAGTTCAGGAAGATTTTTCCTCAACACAGCAGAAACAGCAAGAAAACAAGTCAAAAATGGATTGTAATGATTGCATGTGTTGTGCCGCAATATAATAAAAATAATAATGGATATGGGATAAGAAGATGAAAGTTGAAAATATATAAATCGGTTGAAGAGAACCGGTGCCAGTGCCAGGAAGCGACGGCCAGAGCAGCAAGGGGGCAAAACAAACGCAGAAAAAGATACAAAGACAAACGCGAGCGAGAGAGTGTGAGTGAGCGAGTGAGAGGAAGAATACACAGCATTTGTTTATCGTAAAATTCTCGTGCTGAAATGAAATTAAGCAGACGTTCGTTCGTTCACCAATGAAATTGAATCGAAATGGATTTTCATATTTTTGGGGAATTGTTCGTGGCCTCGATTTATTTTGTGAGAAATGAAAAATTCCGTCAAAAGTAGCCGATTTGCTTCTCTTGCCATTGTATTTGTGTATGTGTGACGGTCGGTTGGTCGGTCGACTGTTGACGCGACCAGCAGTGGAAGGAAAAAAAGCACAGAGAGAGAGAGAGAGAAACGAAAGAGCAACGGAAGCTAACTAACGTTTATGCATCGCTGACATTCTTTTGTTATATTATCTCTGGGGTGGAGGGAAAAAAAAGTTGGGCCGATTAAAAATAGCATCGTCTTTTGTTATCGTCACGTTTTTGCTGTCTTTTTTTGATTTTCATTTTTCCGAATTTGTTCGTCAATCGAGCAGTTTGCTGCATTTTTTTCATTCATTTCGTCCAGCAGCCACTCGCAAAACCATTCGTTATCTTTGCTATGCATGCATAACACTCTGCTCTGGCCGATGCTCGTTCGCTCTATCCCGGTTTTTTTTTCTTCTTTCATTTATTAGTTGCAAGCAAGCGAGTATTTTCGCTCGAGACAACAAATGCAATCGATTTTTTTTTCTTTCTTTACACGATTTGGGATCTTTTGTCCATAAAGCAAATATGATTTCATGGATTTTTGTTCGGGGCCAAACAATTGTTTCTCTTGTACAATTCTTCTAGATTTTTTTTCTATCTCGTTGTCTCGCTTGCTCAAATCTCCTGCGAGACAACAAACGCGAGCAAGCGTGAGAAATGTTGAGTGAAAAACGGAGAAAGGAAGCTAGAGATGAAAACGGAATTTCATTGCAGAGTAAACGGGGAAAATTTAATTTCTTGCAATTTTGTTTATCCGGAAACTGAAACGAAAAATGGCCATCGGCGCATATTCATCAAATTATCGAGTCTCAAAATCCGTCTGTCTATTGGTCTCACCAGAATAAAAGGAAAAATAACCAAACACACAGCGTATGTATAACTCAACAAAAATATTCGTTTTGCTAACGGCAAATTCGAAATGATAGAGTGCATACACAAGTTCAGGAATCGCTAGCATTTATCGATATAGTTCGATTGAAAATTTGCTCAATTTCGAATTATTCGTTTGGGAAAATGCTCGAATTTCCTCAATCGTTCGTTCGGTCTGTCGGAATGTATTTGTTCTCCTGTTCATATTTCGATAGTCCTTCTGTGTATTTGTGCTCATATGTCTCTCTCTCTCTCTCTTCACTCTCCCTCACTCGGTTTCCAGCTCGGATTGTCTGGGTAATAAATGTTCATTACTGAGTCCATAAAATGCCTTTTCAATTTAGATACAGTAGTCACATTTTTTGTGTGTTTTCATCAAAGCTAATTAGTGAATGCGGCGTCTGGTTTTCCATTGCATCATAAAATTATTTTATAAATAAGTCGAATTGACTGGATTTACATTGCAAACAAACAAATTGAACCAACTATGGAGGATAATTACGCATATATTTGTGAGCAAATGTAGCAATGAATGATAGCAATATATGGCCCACTCACCCGCTGACTTTCTCTTATTCTCTCTCTCTCTCTCTCTCTCTCTCTCTCTCTCTCTCTCGCTTTCTCTCTTCCACTCACACTCAATCCATCTGCCTCGCTCGCTTGAATCGAATGGAAAATAGCATGATTGACTCACTCGGATGTGAAATGAAAAGGGTTTTTCAAATTTTGCCATTGATGGAGTTTCAGACTGAACTGAAATCGGATTTCCGTCGAAAATATAGGAACATAGTTTCAATAGAATCCGGGATGCTTTTTGTATTCAAGTGCGCAATGATACAACGATGGGACGACGACGAAGGAAAAACACGAATAACAACAGGCAATACAAATAACCCGAAAAAATCACAAATATCATAAGCTATGTGCCAGCCGAAGAAAAATATAAAGAGACACAAAATTGCCAAATGCCGATGTGGAGACATTAATCGTCAACGACAGTGAAAAATTGAATGGTTTTGTCGATTGGACAAACGGCACATACTCGTACTCGCTCTTCGAAATCCAACGATATATCCTCGCCAGTTTCTCTCCTTCTCATTTTTTTGCTCTCTTTTTTCCCCCGATTTCTCATTCTCGTCCGCACACACACACACATGCTCGTTCACATTCGGTTCTGAGGGCAACCGTTGATAACTTTTCACGTCAGCGATTTTTGGAGACATACCGAGGCAGAAAAAAAAATCCTTCTAACAAAAATAGACCGCTTTAAAAGATGCAATTACTCCAATTTATATTGGTGCTCCGTTCTTTTTTTTATTCTTGGTCGAATCATGCCAAATCGTTTTTTATTTCGTGAATTGCTCTTAGTTTACTAATCAATGAAAATGAGATCACAACAAAGTGGATGAGAAAGTGAGTGAGGAGGGGGAGAGAAAGCCAAAGAAACGACTGCATTTAAACATGTTAAATTGAATTCGTTTTTATTATCGTACGATGAGCATATTTTCGTTGTGGTTCGATGCCAAATCCATTGATGGTCTTTCTCACTTACAACGTGTGTCCCGAATATTCTTGGCTGTCGATGTGTGTTCGTGTGATTATTTTTGTTCCTTGTTTACCTCATCATCGCGATATTGTTTCGCTTGGATGACCCGCTGTCATATCCCAGCGCAAAATACAGAGAGAAATTAAAAAAAAAAAAACGGACAAAATAAACGAGCACCAACACACCACTTGCTCATACGGTGTACATGTGTATGTATCGAAATACATTCACACGCACACGGCTCCTTACACATGGTTCACGCATCCGTACACTTTGCCCGATTATTCTTTTTTTTTATATTTCCTTCATTTTCCTTCGTTCTTTCATATGCTATTCATATCATTCACTCATTTTATAATAATTAATCTCTAATATGTGCGCGCGTTTTTCTGTTTCACTCGACGGCCGAAGCAGGCGACGGTGGCGGTCATTGGTGAGAAGCATGTGTTTTTTTTTCTCGGGGAGAATATGCGATTGAAACTGAATGAAACTAGAGTGCGGCGTGCATTTGGCGCTTCTGTTTGATTTTGGTTTCGAACAAATTTCAAACAAAAATCCACATAAATAAATGCAGGCAACCAACGGCGATGACGTGACGCGCTAATTCTATTTCGATTACCTCATTTAAATGAAATAATAACGCTCTCGTTAAGAGCGGAATTCTTTTCGCTGATTTTCTTGTTCCTTCACTCGGTAAAAGTCTTTAAATTTTATTTTGTTTACATTCACCGCGGAGAGAAAAAAAAACCGCTTGCATATTCAAACATTCTTTTCGCTGCAGTTCTTCAAAATTTGGTGCAATTTATAACCCAATTCAATACCATTACCGCGATCAACCATTTTTGGGGCATCTATCCGAAAGTAACGAGAAAAAAAAATCTTATCAAAATCCAAAGACTGTGAACTCTCTTTGAACTCATAATTGCGCTCATCAAGCATCGCCAAAAGGTGGAAACAAATGAGCAGCAACGAAAATGATGATGTTTATTCATTTTAATTTAGTGCTTTGTGTCGAGATCGTACAATAAATTGAAACAAAAGTCGATGCTACACGGAAAATAGGGTGAAGAAAGAGAAAGAAAGAAAAGAAAAAAAGAATCGTCGGCGACGTAGACAAACATAGACAATTACATGCGAAGATAGTTCAACCGTGTGTTCTAATCGAGCCAACAAAACGACATAAAGAAATAGATGAAATGAAGACAATATTTATGTGTGTAATTTTTGTTTCTGTTTCATTCCCTTTGGATTATTATGGTTCCATTCGACGACGACGACGATGACTCGACTGGTAGCGGGGTCTCTTTTTTTGCGTGTGAGACAATTGAATTTTAACTGCGTGCGAGGAGTGGATGTATGTGTGTGTGTGTGTGTGTGTGTGTGCTTGACTTGCTTGGCTGTGTTTGACGGTTGCGCGTGTGAAAAAATAACAAAATTAACAAAAAAAAAATGAATATTCAGTACAAGCCAAAGCCAAAGCCCAATACAATAATAATGAAAAAGACAGAGAAAAAAAAAGAACAAACGTGTAGTTACAACCTGAACAAACGACACAATGAACGTAGAGACGCAAAGAGAAGACGACGAGAGAGAGAGAGAGAGAGAGAGTGAGAGAGAGAAAACACAACCTATAACCAACGAGAGAAAAATAGGGAAAAATAACAGCAAATGCACGATCAAGCAAAAAAAATATGGTTAAAAAGAAATAAACAACGGACAAATGAAAATATACGAACAGAACGGCAACAGTCACACATCCACTCGCACTCGCACTCACTCACACACCGACAACAAACTCAAATACAAACGAAAACAAATGTAAGCATTTGCCGTTCGCGGCTGGTAAACGGCAACTATATCACTTATGCTACTACACCTTCTTAACAATTGCCTGTGCTTTGTGTGTCGAGGGAAAAAAACGGCGAACAGCCGCTCTCTGTGTATATATTCCACATATAATATTCGGATCGAGCGAGCGAGCGAGCGCGCGCGCGCATGGTGTATGTATGAATCGAGCCTGTGCTACACTGCACTCACCAACGACCGATTCAAATCATAATAACGATTCGACGGAGACGCACACGGATTAGCGTGCTTCGCAATTTAAACAGCATATATTTTTTTGAATTTTTATTGATTCAGTTTTTCCGAACCGGCCACCACGGTGAAACCAACAACATCAACAGACAGACAGATCGCGTTCTCGCCGATTTTATCCTAGCGATCGTGAATATTCGGTCCATCCGGAGTGATTAGTTTTGTTTTTTTTTTAATCTCATTTCTGCGAATAAACGACTCTATTTTTTTTGGCGAGTTGTTTTCACAACAATTAAACTGCAACGCAATTGTGTACGTTTGTGTGTTTGTTTATTCTTTTTCCGTTATTTTTTGCCTTTATTTTATTTAAATGCGCGGGGTTTTGAACCCCATGGATTACGTTGTTTTGAGTGTGACTTTGAAAAAAAAAAAAAGAAAAGAGAAACGATTGCAATGGTGCATTGATGCTCGAGAGTGAGTTTGTTGGGGATTTTTTTTTCAGTGGTTTTCCGCGCGCACGCACACACACTATGTGTGTATTTATGTTATTCTGCCGTTTGTGTCCGCGACCAACTGTAATCGACCAAAATAATCCCAACAATTCTATAAATATTTAGCGTAAAATTTTCTATGTCTGATCATATCTTCGTTGTCACAGTGTGCAAAACGTGTGCGTATCCCATTTTCCGTGTGCCTACTGTTGTGTCAGCGTATCTATCTGTATTTGCATGCCATAACATTTCGGCTACTAAAAGTAAAACCGCTTTTTTCCCTTCATCTCTGTTCTGTACGCCGCGATTGAACGACGAACAAAAAAGAGCGACTGGCACCAAAAATATTTGTGAATCGTTCGGCGATCAAACGCGTCGCGTATGCGCGAAAAACGAACGCAGAACAACAACACAAAAATGCGATGCTTTAAAAACAGCTCTCAAATTCAATCATAGCCATCGTTGTCAGCGTTCGATTTCGTTAGAGATGTGTGTGTGTGTGTGTGTTTGTGTACCGAATCAAGTACATCGAGCGTGCATTCAACGTCAAATTGTTTTACAAATAGTCCAAATATTTTTCCTATTTTTCTTCGTTCGATTTTCCGTTGTGCGTTTTTTTCTCATCGATATTCACTTGGGCTGCATCGTATTATTGAAGGTTATTTGATCTCTGTATACATTTTTTCGTATTTATAATCGTTCGACAGTCTGTTTTCCATTTCAATGTGCCCACGAATTTTTTTGCTCCGTTTCCAATATCATCAATCACAACGGGGATTTCGAATGTAACGGCTATCATGCGAATGCAGCAAAAGAGAGCTACGGCCAACAATAGCAACAACAACAAAATGTAGTGCCACTGATATGTACCAGTTGAATGCAACACTTGCTCCCCCAAAATTTCTCTTTTCCTTCATTTTTTGTTTTTGTTTCGAAAAAGATGCCCCAAGTGAGACATATTGTTTGTATAGTTCGTTCTGTGTGGAAAAAAAAAACACAGCGTTGAATAAGTTGAAACAAATTGTGCTTCATTTGAATTGAAATTTACAACGCGGCCACAATAATAATAATAAAATTAAATTGGGACGATGGAATTTTTTTTTTTCGAAATTTGTTGTGTAAAAATGTTAAAATTAGAATTTTTGCGGGACGCCGCACATCACAAAACATTGGAGTGGACAGAGAAAAGAGCCACACGACAACGACAGACCAATGACGTGTTAAAAATAGAGAAAGAAAGATGATATTTCGGACAATGCGAGAGAAAGATCGTCGCGAAATGAGAGAAAAGAAAGAAAAAAAAAAAATAAGGAAAGAATGAGCGCACCACAAGATCTTTGCCACGCGTGGATTAAATACGAAACGCACAAACACAAACACTCACAAATTATGAGCAATCATTCATTTCCTTTCCGATGAACTCAACATTTTTACGATGTTACTTTTTTAATGGTCTCTTTTTTTTTTAAATATTTATTTCTTTTTTCATCATAATTTTTTCTCAAAATTGGTGCGTTCTTTTTTCCTCTCTCTCCCTCTCCCTCACTCTTTGTTTGTATAATTTTTCGTTTGTTTATTTGCGTTTAATGATTGCGTTTCGATTTGAAGAAGAAAAAAAAATGTTGCTTTGTATTAACGCCGAATTTTCATGTTGATCTTGTTCAAGGGCTTTTTTTGGCATTTGTTTCGTTTGCCCTCATGCCTGTAGCCGTAACAAGAAAACGAGCGAGAGAAAATTACGAACGACAACGACGACGATGACGACAACAATTACGAATCTGATTGTGAGTGTGGGAAAGGCCATAGCAATCGCTTCTGATTTGGTGGCATTTCATTTTCGGGAGGCAATTGTTCTGTGCGTTTGGATCGTGCATTTCAACAGCCACTCATTCAATGGCATACATTGAATACAATTGCCGAAATCAAAGTCTGTTTCGAATTTAAAATTTCGGTCAAAGGTGTATTTAGCACTCGAAATGAAGTGAGCGAGTGACAGAAAAAAATGTTATGTCCAAGCTAACAGCGTTGATTCGACTTCAATAAGCATCGACAGATCAACCATAGCACAAAATACTGACACGCATTTCGGCGTCAATTGTGATTTAAAGACAAACTATGCTATAGTGTTGCTCATTTTACGCATAAAACATAAACTAATTTGAAATAATTATCTCTCTTTTCTTGTTTCATATTGTTCCCTTGTTTCTATTTCGCAGATTTTTCTTGGCTCTGTTGAATCAACACACAATAACACCGCGAGTATTCGCATCGAAATGTAGCTACGCATGCGAATAAAGCAAGAAGAATGAGACAAGCTGAAACGAAGCGAGTGCATCGTGCATATTGCATTTCATTCTATGTCAAAAGACTTTTAAGGCAATCCATTTGATAAAATTGTGTGTGAGCAAAGTTTTTTTTTGCATTGGCTAGTGTTAGTGTGACTGTGTATTTGTTTGCGCGCCGGTGAGCGCTCGCCCATGAACATTTGTGTTGCGATGTATTTGAAATTCGAATCGTGAGCACACTAGACAAATTGTGAATTCAAAGCGGACAGCCGACAACAACAACAAGCAACGAACGAAAAATTGACACACAACTTTTCAAATGGAAAAGAAACGGAATTAAATTGTTGCATTTGCTTTGGATCACGCCGACCGAACAAGTGCCAGGGAAAAAGAAGGCAAGTGAGAGAAAAACAGTGCAAGATAAATAAAAGTGTACGTGAGTGTGTGTGTGTGTGTGTGTTTGTGTGTGTATTTCTACCCGGGGTGTGTATGCGCTAGCGCTATCGTATATTTGTGTTTTTCCGGTAACGAGCTAAGAACGTGTATGTCACAGAAAATGCCGTTGATTGAGTGTAGAACGAGTGTGAATGTGTCCCCGCCGAAAATGCAACATTGACTAAGAGCACGCTTCTCGATGGTCGGATATGTATTTTGCATGCATTTGGTGAATAGCAAAAAAAAAGAGCATCCGCACAGCTTCTGTCGCTGCCGTCGCCATCGCCACCGGAACAGAGTGTTGAACGTGCAAAATTCGATTTGTGGCAACATTGGAGTGTGCAATATCTTTGGATGCACCTGAATTTATTGTAAGCATTTCGCCACATTCAATATATACATACACAAACACGTACGGAGATAGAGCATCGAGTGAGTGTTTTGATAACAGAAATAAACGCGCAACGAAAATAAAATGCCCGAGTAATGTGAGTGCATTACGTATTTGCATGAAAATTGACGCCCGCCCGCCCTTGCGCGTATGTGTGAGTAAATCAAAAGGGAAAATGTGTTGTTTTCTCCAAAAATTTAATCAATGTGAGAAATAAAAAACGAATGAAAGACTGTGACATCAAAACGCATGACAAAAAAAGGGAAAGAAAATCGAGTCAAAAAGAAAAACAAGAAAAACAAGTAACCTAACAAAGAAAAGTGAAGTTGAAATATACATACTCAACGGCAAATTAGAGAAGACAAAGACTTGACACGGAGCGACAACACAGCGCATCGAGTATTAGCAGCGACATAAGACTGAACAACAGCAGCACACAGAGTGTGTGGACGAACGAACGAAAAAAGCAAGCAGAAGCAGCAGACAAAAAAAAAATGATGAGCATTACAGCAAAAATGCTGCACCAGCACCACTATCACCCAAAATCGATTAGTCAGCATAGATTTGTAGCTGTAATTTTAACGCTAATTGGATTACTTCACGGAATTCATTGCGAAATAGGTAATTAGTTTAATTTAATTGAATTCGACCAGCGGCAGCGAAACAGCCGCTGCTGCGTTTCGATGCTCTTTTTTTTTAAATTTTTATCGATTCATTTCAAATGAATCATTTGCGACACTCACTTTTATTCCATCGTGTCTTTCCAATGAAATCGAAACATAAACAACCAAATTCATGAACAAGACAGAATAAAAAAGATATTATGAATCTTATTGATGATATTATGTTCACACGATTTGAACTATTTTCGTGTCATCAGAAGGAGAAAACAAAACGACAACACACAAAATAAAACCTCATTGTCTCTATGCACGAACGCACGAGATTTCCATTTGACTGGTTATTGGTTTTCACTAATGACCGTGAACATTTCCCATATTTTTCATTGTTTCCGAACGACACAACCGTATTAGCATTATTATTGTCGTCTACACTTGTAACACTTTCATTAGAGTGTGTATATGCTTCATGTTTTGTGTCTCGCGCACCCGCTCATTCGTTATTTCATCACAATGTGCAGTTGTTTTCGAATTTTGGTTTGACGCTGTGTCTCGTCACATTTCACCATTTCGACTATGTAAAATACAATACGATGCGATCGCAACATTGTATCCACTTAACGCTTTTTCAATTAATGCCATAGTTTGCGCTTCGCAACATTTTGCCGCAGAAAACCTGGGCTGAGTGTTGTGATGGTCGGTTATGTCGATTCAATTTGTTTACAATTCGAAATGGAAAATCGGCTGAGGAACATCACACAATACTCGAGTATTTGATGTTATTACATTGAATTGAATTTAGGCTAGCGCCTGATATTCACTTTTGATACGGCTTCCATTTGAACTTTGGAACAATTTGAAGTACCAAATGCTTTTGAAAAACACTCTTTGAGTATTAGAGCGAGAGAAAGAGCGAGAGAGAGAGAGAGAGAGACGGAAAGAGAGAGAGAGACGGAAAGAGAGAGAGAGAGAAAGATAGAGAGAGAAACGGAGAGATGGAGACAGGGCGGTAGAGCGAAAAAGGGCCTAGTGAAAAATTGGCACAATTTAGTGTTATCGTTGCGTGAAGTGAGTTTTGAAAAAGTTTGTTTCTTTATCGCAATTATTATGTGTGACACACATTTATTATCGGCATAATTCATTTAATTGTCATTGAATGCTTTGAAAATGCTACTGCTGTTGTGTGCATCTGCTGTATGTTATCCCATCTCTCTCTCTCTCTCTTCTTCTATCTGTGTGCATCGCATAGGTGCCGGAATAATAGAAATATTTAATACACATTGTTTGAGTCTTCGGTGTTATGTGTGTGTGTATTCTGTATGTTAGAATTTGTGCTTTGCATTCCCATTGAACCAAAGTTGAGCTCGGTGTGAACGTGTCATTTGGCTCGATGGATGCATCCCCATGGGAAGTTTAGAGAATGAATAAAAAAAAAAACAAACAACCAACAACAACAACTGAATGCTGAATATTCCAACAATTTTTGTTTTATTCATTCACATCCGCTTTCACATTTGATCGTTCTTTTTTCTCCTCTCTCACAATGCAACACCAACAGCAGCGCGGTAAACTACGATGAAAAACTCCCAAAATGTAAAAATAAGCAGCTCGCGAGCTAGTTTGTACAATATTTGTTGATTATTTATGTAAAACAAAGAATACATATTTCTGGTGGTGTATGCGAGCTCGGCGCCATTGCATCCACCACAAAACAAAGGCATTTCAATAGATTTACTTTTACTCGCTGGTTTTTTTTCCCGTGTGTGTGGGTGCTGTGTGCTTTTCTCTTCTTACCACTACCACTCCGCCATCATCATTTTTACAAAGTTTCTTGTTTGCCTCATAATAAATAGAAGAGGTGCTGATGCGTTACTCGACAATGACGCTGCAAACCGTTGATTTACCATTATTTTTGCCAAAGTCAGCGAGAGAGAGAGAGACCTTTTGTTCTTTCGTATACTCGCGAGCACAGTGACATTGCACTTGAAAAGTCTACTTTGGTTGCCTCCAAATCCGTTCTCCGCTGCTTTTGAGATGGCGTAAACTACCATTTTACACGTATGCGAATTAGCTAACTATAATTATTCCACGCCATCTCATCGCGTTTGAAATGGGCGCAAAGAAAATGATCACCAGCAATTTTGAATTTCCGACGACGCTCAACCTGCATTGAGCCACTTAAAAAGAAAGCGCATTCTGCAACAAGCATAAGAAGAAGAAGAAAAACACGAAGAAGGAGGTGGAATTTATTCAAACACCTACTTCACAAAAATGAAATTCGTATTTTAAAGCCATTAAAACGCATTGAAACCGAATCACAGTCTCATTGAAGCGTGTATAATTGCATTTATTATTTGTGAAACTGAAACTTATGATTTCACAGGAAATCAAGCCGATTATTTCGAATGCCAAACATACAAGCCAGACCATTTTATGCTGGTATTCATTGGGTAAAAGCATTAAATTTATCGGATTTATTCATGTGTTTCACATAAACCGAGAAGAGCATGGACATTCATTAGAGCTGACTTGGGGATGTAATTTAATTTAGTTCAATTAATCTTTGGTCGAATGGAATCTTAATCAATTTGCGAATGTTTCTAAAATTTCGGAAAACATGTATACACTCGGCTGAACGATACTAAACCAAGATGCGCCACCTTCTCGATTACCAATCAAAGAGATGGTCTTACGCCTGCCATGGTTCACCAATAAATAAATCAATACCTTAAAATGAACACTTGAACGCATTTCAGTTCAAACAAAACTTTTGCAACACTCAATCTCATGAACACCGAATATCGCTCAGACGAACCCGCTTTTCAGTGGAAGTTTGCCGATATCTTTCGACAGTTATGATCCCGAAGAACGCAGAGTGCACTTGATAGTTTCGACCAATCGTTTGGGAAATACTGTAAATGCTGTCGAAACTTAAACAAATCGTAAACTCAAAATTTGAAACAATTTCAATGGCCTGAAGCTGAAAAAAAAATTATAACAAGACTCCGTTGAATAAAAACGCGGTTGCTGTTTTTATTTGCTGCGCATTTTTCTGGTCTACGAAGTGGATAATCCATGAATTGCATGGTTTCTCGTTGCGCTTTTTTTTTTCTTCTCGCCGATGCACTTCATTCTCTCGCCCAATTTTTCATTTCCATCACAAAAGACAAAAAGAACTTTTTGCAAATTATCAACTTTTGATCCCGGAGCAAAAATGAAGGAGAAAAAAACGCGTTGAATTCATAATCGAAACTTGATTTATGGAGAAAAGTGTGTAGTTCCAACACTTGTTCTATATATGAAAATAGTAAAATTGAAGATTTAAAATTTAGCGATGATTTTGCATATGTATTTTTTTTTTCACGATTTTACTCGCACTTGTAATGCAATCCATTTTTTATGGAACATTTTTTGTTGTTGAATTTTCATGCAGAATGAACTAACCAATGTAGATGTGCATGGAAAAAAAAACGAAATGCTTTCTGTTTGCATTTGATTTGCTACAAAAATGAAGTTCAAATTACGGTATTCGGGTCAAAATACCGAATGCAAAGCATTAGCATCAGCATCGCGGCACACAGTAGCACAAAGTTGATGCCAGCAACACCGAGAGAATGTGTCTTCATGTGCGAAACAAGTGGATCCGGAAAGAATCACGTTGTATGTCATTTTGATATTAAGTGAGACGAATCGAAAAACCGAGAATGATTTTTGCCAGAATGACAACGTTCGCGGTAGAGCATAGGCGAAATTCATTAAAAAAACAAGAAACAAATAAAAAAAAAACAGTTCATTTTTGGTTCGTCTTCATTCGGTTCATGAGTGTGCCGATGATGTGTATGTGTGTGTGCGTGTATGTTTGTTTCGATTCTTATCAAACACAGTTTATGGCCGTGTAACACACGCAGCCATCATATGCATGTGGATTTCTTTTTTGGTGTTGATTCAACTCGTAGGCATTGTGTATTATGTATGGTAGCCAGAGCTTTTGCTCTCTCTCGCGCGCTCTTGCTCTGAAAATACCAGCCATCGCTAACCGAGAGACAACGAACTATAGCGAAAATTTCCCACAGCATTTTTTTTTTCTCTCTGCTATGCACGTGAATAATCCAAGTTATTCGTTTCCACGTTTATTTTATACACAATATCTTCTTTTTTTTCGTTGTTGCTGTTGCTTAATCATCCCACCACTCTTTATTAGTTCATATTTGTGGTTTTGTTTCGTTAGATTTTTCCACGTTGTCTTCTTCTTCTTTCGCAGATTTGTAGCAATGCTAAAATGCTTTCTCGATCGCGCGAGAGAGAGCCCGATTATCTTTTGCTCGTTGAATTCTATCTATGTCATTTCCTCCACGAAAATTGTGTTGCTACCGTTGTTGTTGTTGTTTCTTTCCTTCTGTTCGTATTGTTGCGGTTTTTTTTGCTCTACTCCGTGTTCTCGATTCAGTTTTTCATTCCATTTCAGAGTCGAGTGAAGTTCGTTGATTTCTGTGCTTTGTATTCGTGATTATTCTTATCACATATGCATAAAAAATGGTATGGCATGCACTAGCACTACCATAAGAGTGAGCAAAACTCCCGCAGTTCAGTGTATTGTACAGTTCACTTTGATTGCGCTGAGTCTACCGTCGATGGAATTGTGCACACAAAGATTTTTGCGCGCGCTTATCACGTTACGTCGAAACGCATTGAAGCTGCTGTTTGACGAGTGCGACAGCCAGCCATGGCCACATTTTTGAAGCTCCGAGAAATTACAGAGTCTTAATGAAAGAATAAAAGAGCGTTTACATTTTCCCGACGCGAGCGCACTCGCGCGCGCATACACATCAAAAAAAAACCCCAGAGATGATTATACATTGTTTGGTTGTCGTGTGCGTTTGGCACTCGAGCTTTGTTTGTCACAACCACCGCTGTCGCACGATCTATTCATTATGGCCATTTTCTTGTTTGTGTTTTTCTTTCGGTCGCTACGCCTTTCTCGCTTGTTGTTTTCTTTTCGCT